GATTTGGAAGGCGGGTCACTGTGGCTACGGGGTTACCATCCCCAGCTTCTCCCGTTGCAGCTGAAGAAAGGATCGATTCCACGTGACTGCGCTTTGAGTTTCGGGACACCCAGGGCCCTGCCTGCATTTCTGGCTCAGCCTGAAGCAGCTACACAGACTCCAGTGCAAGAATTTCCTTTTTATATCATTCAATTTTTTTAAATCATTTCAGTTCAGAGTTAAGAATTAGCCTAATCTGCCCTGGCCGGATTGGTTTATGGATTAGAGTGTCGGCCCTCGGCCCAGAGAGACCCGGGTTCCTACAAGTGAAGGGCACTTACCTAGGTTGCAGTTTGTCCCCAGCTGGTTGGGGTCGTGTGGGTGGCAACCAGTCCATGTGTCTCTCTCACATCAATGTTTCTCTCTCTCTCTCTTCTTCCCTCTTTGCCTCCTGCTCTATCTGAAGATAAGTGCAAAAATGTCCTCGGGTGAGGATAAAAAAATTTTAAAAATAAATAAATAGATAGCATTAGCTTAATCTAAGTTTAATCACCACAAGAGCTATGTCACCTATAGCAAAAGAGATGGAAAAAATAAAACTGCATTCAATCATATTGACTGACTGGCCTATCATTAACAAATATCTTAGTATTCGGACGCTTTTTTTTTTTCATAGGTGATTTAATGTTCAACTGCCCTTCAATTTCTTATGCACCTATTGATGTCAGTCACTTTGCCTCCATTATTTCCAGTCTTCACAGAAACTCTGTAAGGCAAGTGGTAGTAGTAGTAGTAACAGTACTAGTAGTAGTAACAGTAATAATATTATACTGATGAAAAACTATAGCTTACAAAAGGTAATTGCTATGTTTAGGGTCACTTAGTAAGTGGTGGAGGCTTGATTAAATCTCAGATAGCTCGGGGTCCCAAGTCACTATCCCCTGTCCCGCTCTGCTCCCATATTATAACGAACCCTTAGCAAATTTTCATAAATGTTTTTTTCTTTTTTGCCAACAATATTCCATGACTTCCACAAAGAAAAATACCATAAGTCTCAACCCTCATTTACTAAATGTGGTCTTTTCAGCTATGATGTAGCTATGCCAATATATTGAACATGTCTTTTCAGCACCCCACAAAAATATTTTCTAAGGTAGTTATCTATTTCTTGTATTAAAATAATTAGGAGAACCATGACTTTCCTTGTTTTTGTTTTCTAAATGTTTTTATTGATTTTTTAGAGAGAGAGAGGAAAGGAGAGGGAGATAGAAACATCGAGGTGAGAGGGAAAAATTCATCAGCTGCCTCCTGCACGCCTCCCACTGGGGATCAAGCTGGACACCCAGGCATGTGCCCTGACCAGGAATCTAACTGGGACCTCTCAGTCCATGGGACAGTGCTCAATCCACTGAGCCACAACAACCAGGCGTGACTTTCTCTTTCAAAAGCAATGACAATTGGTAAACTTGCATAGACATTCCATGAAAGATTTTGAAAGCTATGTTACATAGAATATAATAACATGCTACTGTCCTACATATGGCATGTTATCTGTTACAAAAAGAGTTGTCATAATATCTCTATTCCTTCCCAAATCACCTAAGACTTTGCCACTTTTCCTTTAAGAGGTGAAATGTAATTGTGCTCAATCTTGTTACCTGATTGTAACTAAAATGTGGCAGAAATAATGATGAACCAGTATTGTTACATTATAACTAAAAAGTATAATTTGTAGAGAGTTCGCTTTTTGTATTTACACGGTTCTGTAACTTTGACAAATGCATAATGCATGTATCCACCACCACAAAATTTACAAAATAATTTAATTATTCTAAAAATGTCCTGTGCTTCCCTTACTCATTCCTCTCACTCCCCACCCCCACCCCACCATGCAATTACTCAACTTTTTGCTATCTTCATAGTTTAGGCTTTTTTTAGAATGTCATGTAGTTGGAATCATACAGTATGTAGTCTTTTCAGATTGGCTTCTTTCACTCAGCAATATGCATTTAAGATTCTTTTATGTCATTTCCTCCATGTCTTGATACCTCATTTCTTTTTATCACTGAATAATAAATATTCCATTGTGTGTATGTACCACAGTTTATTTATTCACCTACTGAAGAGCATCTTGGTTGCTTCCAAATTTCTGATATGAATAAAAGTGGAGTAACCATTTGCATGTGAGGTTTTGTGTGGATATAACTTTTCATCTCCTTTGGGTAAATACCTAACAGTGTGAATGCTGAATCATACGATGACATTTTGATTTTGAAAGAAACTGCCTGCCTTTCCCAATGGCCGCACCAATTTAAAATTCTTATGAGTGATAAGGGAGAGTTCCTGTTGCTCCACGAAATGCATTTTAGCCAGTCTAACAGGTGTGGAGTAGTCACTCATTGTTGTTTTAATTTGCAATTTCCTAATGATATTCACTGTCCTTTCATATGCTTATTTGCTATCTGAATATCTTTGGTGAGGTGTCCAGATGTTTTGCTTATTTTTTCAAAAAAACGTTGTTAGTTTTCTTATTGTTCAATTTTGAGTGTTCTTTGTACGTGTGAGATACTAGTCCTTTCTCAAATATTTGTTTTGTAAACTTTTCTTCCAGTTTGTGGCTTGTCTTCTTATTCTCTTTACAGTTTTTAGAGTAAAAGCATTTTATTTTATATATATTTTTTTTATTTTTGGTTTAATGAGGTCTAAAAATTTCTCATGAATCATGGAGAGCTATATATTTTTATCTTCTAGAAGTTTTCTTTATATCATCTTAATATGAAGACATATGTCCTTGCATCACGTTCTATTTGATTGTGTATTCACTTATCTCTCCTACTGTCTGAACTTTAGTCAGGAGCCTCTCAAGTAGGTTTGGATAAAATAAGTAGTTTAGCACCTTTGGAAAGTATTATCAGACAGAGTCTTAGCAAAATAATAATAGTTTTGCTAAGCTGGGAGTTTTGATGAGTTTTAATTAAGGACTATTTATATTTATAGTAGGTGTGAGCTGGCTAAAGGAACCAACATGGAATGTCGCAGCACCCCAAAACAGCAGCAGCAGGAATCCCAGGGGTCACACAGCAAGGATAGGAGAGTGTTGACAGCTGGAGCCACTGACAAGAAATTGTAATTGTAGAAACAGAAATGCTAACAAATCTGCCTAGAATCAGGGAGGAAGTGGAAGGAATACCTCCTCCTGATCTCGCATCTTCTACCACGTGCACTCATGGGCTGAATTCAGCCAGAAGTTAGAAGGCAAGAGGGCCTTAACGATGAAGTCTTCAAAAGTCTCCTTCCAAAGGAGAGCAGAACCCTGGCTGGTTTGGCTCAGTGGTTAGAGCATCGGCCTGCGGTCTGGAGAGACCCAGGTTCGGTTCCCGCTAAGGGCACGTACCTCGGTTGCAGTTTGTCCCCGGCCCTGGTTGGGTCGTGTGGGTGGCAGCCACTCGATGTGTCCCTTTCCCGTGGATGTTTCTCTCTCTCTCTCTCCTCCTCCCACTCTATCTGAACAAAATATGAAAAATGTCCTCGGGTGAGGATAAAAAAATAAAAATAAAAAAACAAAGGAGAACAGAAAAGAACGGACAATGGGTAGGGATGGAGAGGAAGGCAGAGAGAATAACTCACCTAGGCATTTTCCTTACAATTAATTTGAAGGGAATAAAATAGAGGTATGAATACAGTATTGACTGGCAGAAATATTTGTGGTAACTTGACCCTACTTTTAGAATAGTAATGATAAAAATATCTTGATAAATCCATCCTGTCTCAATACACCAGCCCAGCCTCCCTCTGATTTCCACTCAGGTGCTTTTCCTTTGCAAACAAGCACACAGGAGAGGTATCTTATGTAAGAGCAAAAAACTAAAAAATTCAAGGACTATAATAAGCAGCATATCTGCCAGCCTGTTTGGCTGATATATTATGGACCCAGTCATCATGATTCTTCCACAGGCTGCATGGGACCAGAGTGTGTGGAAGAAAGCAAAGGACAGTGATCAAGGCAAATCAAGTTACAACCGAGTGAATGCAGCTGCATAGTCAGAAATTCAAATCCCCAACTCAATTCTGCTGAGATGAATAAATTAAATTACTACCTATGTGGTCATGATATTGTCAGAGGAAAATAACTGATTTCTTTTTTTTACCAAAGAGTAAAGCAATTCAATGGAGGAAAGATAACCTGTTCCACAAATGGCGCAGGTGCAACTGGACATCCATCAGCTAAAAACAACAACAAAAGAATCTTGACCTAAGCCTCACACTTGACACAAAGAATTAGTTCAAAATGGATTACAAACTGAAATGTGAGATGGAAAACTCTAACATTTTTAGAGAAAAAGACAAAGAGAAAATTCTCAGGACCTAAGGTTAAGTAAAAAGTGCAAATGTGACTTCAAAAGCACAATCAATAAAAGAAAAAAATTGAAAAATTGGACCTCATTAAAATTTAATATATTGGCTCCAAGGAAGGTTCTATTGAATCTAAAAAGACAAACTACATACTAAGAAAAAAATTTGAAAACCACGTTATTTGACAAAGCACTAGTATCTAGACTATATAAAGAATTCTCAAAACTCAACAATAAACAATGCCAAAATACAAAATAGCAACAATACCAAATGCTGGCCAAGTTGTACAGAAACTAGATCACATGTATGTTTATTGAAAAAGTGAAATGATACAGTCACTCTGGAAAACAGTTTGACATTTTCTTAGAAAACTAAACATGTAACTATCACTTTTTTAAAAGTGAGAAATTTTTTTTTCTCTTGCCATTTTATCTTTATACTGATTCACAAAATATAGCAGAATGTCCGATTGTTATAATGCTGATGCAATAAATTCATTATTGCAGAAAACACTCTCAATAATATGTATCAAGATGATAAGATGTAAGGGGTCTATTTTTTAACTGCATTTTCTTTAATTTAACATGTGATATCTATTTAATTAAATGATTATAATTTAAGATTATAGCTCCTGTCCCCTGATATCAAATTAAACCGCTACATTACATACAGAAGAAAATCAGAACAGAAGAACCAGTAACACATCAATAATCCTGTAAAATCACTTTATTTTCTATTACATAAACATCTTTCTTAGGTAATTACCAGAACAACCTGTTTATGAAGTATTAGAGTTCGTGGTAAATTTTTTTTTTAATTTATCTCTATTAAACAGAGTTGTGATATAAAAACAAGCTATATTAGCTATAGTTTTCAGAAAGCAGTTAGCTAGATAAATCCTGCTGAAGAAACTTTCCTATTTAAATCTACAATATGGCATAAAAAGACATGATTTTAAAAATCTTCTCATTAAAAAGCTTGAGATCATCAAAGGAATGTTTATTGTCCTCCACAGAGGGCCACTAGGATTTTCTCATAATCTCCTTTGGTTTCATCCTGTTGATTAAAAAATAGAGTATACTTAATGTTGCCTAAAACCATAATCAATATAAAGTATGCTTAAATTATAGAATAATTGTAGTCTTAGTAAACTTAAAGAGTTCTAGAACATACATCACAGTGCATCAATTATCTAGGATCTTTGGTAAGAATATTATTCATTTAATTAGATAATCTAATTCATATAGCAGATAACTGATATTTTTTAATTGATTATTATATAAAAGCAATACCTATCAAGATTCAGATTGTGAACTTCTCTGAGTTGTGTATTAGAGCTATTATTTTCCAAGAATAAGAGGTCACACAGAACTGAGTAAATATAACACAGGATCATTTCAGATCCTTTTGGGGAATAGCTAACACACACCGGAGAAAGCTAGAAGCTTGTGATTTTCTCGGTAGATTATAGTTATTCATTATAAGTGGCAAATTTAACTTAAATAGGCACCTATCTTCCAATAACTTAAAAACCCTTGACTTGCCTTTATTTTTATTTCTTAACATTATAATGAGATCATAGGAACATGCATTTTATACATTTTACATATGACAAAACTAAGGAAAAACTTAGAATAATAAGTTTCTAACCCTCTGATCAATATTCATTGCAAAATAAATCATTATATCTTCCTTCCAAAAAATATTGTGGTTGCTAAATTTATGTATGAGACAGTAAATGTTCTGTGAATGCTAAAAAATTTGAGTATTTTTTCAGTACAGACTCACTAGTAAATTTTACCAGTGAAAGTTAAATTTACTTATAAATTATATACCCTAATATAATAAATTAATCTGATATATAAAATATACAGATATAGTAAGTCAGCCTTTCCCTTTAAAAAAAATGCAACAGGAATTATTATTTGTGGGCAGCGTTAAGAAAATCACAACATACCATGATGGCTTGGCAGAGAGAGACACCATACAGCTTCTGGTAACATGCTTTGATATCATTCATGTCGATTTCAGAACGGGAAACCATAATCCTGATCAGTGTTTTATCACGTGTTCCGACACCCTGTCCAAAACAAGTGAGGGTTAAGTGTCTCTCATATTCAGAGCATCCTCTTAATAAAGCAGGGTATGGGTTTGAACGTACTCATACCCTTTGTTCACCCATATAGTTTCTACAGAAAACACCCTCTACATTAAAATAGACACACACGCCCACGCACACACTTTACACAAGTGGTAACAAAATGACAAGAACCCAGTTGCTACATCAGCAGTACATTCAGAGCTTTTACAGCCTTCTAATTGGCCTTCCTCCACCCAGTCTCTCCTTTCTCTAAACTATTCAATAATTACAGATAAAGTGAACTATCTGATCGTCTAATTCATCTATTTAAAATCCCTCGATGGTCTTTTTCTTTCAGGATAAAACCCAATCATTCTATCTGGCTTGCAATGCCCCGCCTAATTCTACCACCTCTTCTTCTGCTATGCACCATCACTAACTGCCCCTATTATCTTGGAAGAGTAATGGTACCTCCTCTTCCTAGACCAATCTCACTTTATCTCTCCAACTCTTCCACCCCTGTTTCCATCTGGCTAATTCCTGTTCACTACCGGGTCCTAGTTTAGCTGAGGACAAGGCTATACTGATATCCGAATCTGGGGTACAGGATACTCTTCTACTCTTCTACAGTACTAGGTATTTATCATTACCCATAGAATTAGCCCACTAAATAGGAGCAGATGTGGGCTCAGAGATTGGACTGCCTCACACATAACAGCACTATGCCTATCATTTCATAAGGACTCTTTCCTATTAATTGATGGTTAGGTCTCTCTCTCTCTCTAGTCCAAAGAATTCCTTATTTTGAAGTTGCTAATTAAAAAAAAAAAAGACAACTCCATAGTATAAGTATACAGGTGGCATCCTATATAATATGATGAAAGCAAGACAATAAAGTTAGTGGTTGAAATGTATCTCAATACATCTTAAGATTACTTCAGTAATCTTAGCACAACATTTAAAAAGCTTAGAATGACCTATTCATCCATGGCATGGAAGACAGAATAATAAAAAAACAAATGAAACCTAGAAAGGAAAAGGTTGTAAAACTCACAACCTTAGCAGAAGGTTACTAACATCACGCATTAAAAGCAAAATTATATCACCCTTCCTGTGCTGACTCATGTTTTACACAAATCATGAGTAACCCACAAATTACCAACAAGCTCATCTTACTGTTGTACTTATATATATAAAAAAAAGAATACAGCACATCTAATTTTATTCTAATAAAGAAGTGTATTACCTCTTGCATTGGATGGAACAGTGATTCTTTTTAATGGGACAATACTAAAGTATATGTGATTTTCAATCAATCTGAGGTTTTATGATCTCTCCACTAACAATAATTTTCCCCTAAGCAAATCATATAAGAATCTTACCGCCATGGCCTGATGAAGCTTCTCAGCAAAGAACATTGGTTTGCTTGTGGCACACTTCACTGCAAGAGAGGCACACTTTAGTGGACAAATTTACCAAAAAAAAAAGAAGAAAAATGCATATGAAAGAAATAGGAGATATAGGGTTTTGCAAGCAAGATTCTATTTACCCATTTTACCCAAGATTCTATTTACCCCTCCCCCCTCAGTATGGCATATTTAGTTTATAAGAAGCTATTCTCTAGATGTTGGTTTTGAATATTCTCTCCCATGATACCATCACCTATTATCTTAAAGACAAACAATAGCAGCTTCTACACATCATGCTATCCTGAGTATACCCTTCTTGGGCATAGGGACACCAGTTGGTGTTAAAGGCCATATTGGCATATAATACATCCTTTTTTCATGTTGTAATACAAAAAAACAAATGCTTTTTAAGTGGAAAATGACAGGCTGTAAAAGGCAGCTGCCAAGTAAAACACTAACAGATGTGTCAATTAGTGAGATTCTCTAGTTTGCTTTTCAAACTGTGATCCGTAGACCGAAAAACTAGGTTGTTAGAAACTGCTTGTTAGACATGTAGAATCCCAGGCCCCACACCAGACCCAGTGAAATCAGAATCTGCATTTTGACCAATTTCCAGCAGATTTATGTGCACTTTAATGTTTGAAAAGCACCACTTTAGAATACAGGTTCCCAGACCTACTGGTCATCTGAACAGCACAAGAGACTTTTAATAACTTTTTCTTTTAAAGACACTGTCAGAAGCTACCAGAGAACTACTGAATCAAAATCTCTGGACTTGCCTAAGATTATTCAATTGGCAAGTGACAGACCAGGATTTGAATCTGCATCTAATTTCATATCCTGTTCTCTGAATGACCATTCAGACTTTCCTCTGTGCTCTGTCCAATATGGTCCACTGCTTGGCATGAGTAGGGGCTCAGTAAGTACTTTCCACCTGCCTGTCTTTTTTTTTTTAAGGAGGTGGGGTGATATCTGTCATTATTAAGAAGGTCACTGTATCCATTTAGTTAAATCTGCATTGCCATCATCTAACATGTTGCCTCTATCTGAAGCATAGCTGAATTACATCTGAGTTGTTTCACTTTTGTTTTGTTATATTTTGTTTTTAAATTATGGGACAGGATGCAATTTTTATTCAGAAAATTCTTCCCCCTCCAGGACTACATACCAATAACTGTGAAGCACTTCTCAATGTCACCCTTCATCTCCAGGTCCAGAACTTTGTTCATGTCATGCTGACTGTACTTGGTATACTTCTGAAACACTGAACATTACATTTAAACTAAGAGATGTAGAAAACATCCTATTCTTTAACAGACGTTAGCAAAATCAGGACAACTAACTCAAAGTACTCCTTAGGACAACTGAACTTCAGAACATATTCTAAACCTAATTACTCAACAAAGTATATTTTGGATACTTCATGTTCTCCTAGGAATATAACTCACATGGCTATTCTGGTGTTCTTGTATTCTAAACCTAATTACTCAACAAAGTATATTTTGGATACTTCATGTTCTCCTAGGAATATAACTCACATGGCTATTCTGGTGTTCTTGTATATTTTGGGGAAATTTTTGCAAGTGTTGACATTTATTAGAAATGGCATGTGATTGACAATCATAACACTTGCTACATCAGCACTAAGTACCATAGCAAATGGATCTTCCCTTATATAAAAATCTGTGCGGTGAGTTTCCCTTAATTTTGGCATTAGAAATCAGTGTGCTATTATCAGATAATGAACTTTAGGTAATTATCATGACTTTCCATTTGCCATGTCTTCCAGTAGGCTCAAAGCTAAATCTTGTGCTCAAAGGCAAAAACTCCTTTTGGTTTCTGTTTCTGGAGCATCTAAATACACTTTTTCACCCTGGCCAGTTTGGCTCAGCAGTTAGAGCACTGGCCCGCGGACCAGAGAGTCCCAGGTTTGGTTCCCGCTGAGGGCATGGACCTCGGTTGCGGTTTGTCCCCGGCCCCGATTGGGGTCCTGTGGGTGGCAACCACTCGATGTGTCTCTCTCACATCAATGTTTCTCTCCCTCCCTATCTCCCTCCCCTTCTATCTGAAGATAAATGCAAAAATGTCCTGTGGTGAGGATTAAATAAATACATACATAAATAAATAAATAAATAAATAAATAAATAAATAAATAAATAAATAAATAAATAAATTCACTTTCCCCCCACTTTGTCCTGAGTGTTTTGCTTTTCTTTATTGTGATTTCATTTCTTCTGTTGTATGGATCTATTTTGTCACACTTGTTCCAAATATTTTAGGAGAAAAATAGTGAAAATAAGGAAATAATGTTCTACATGCCACAGTCACAAAAGGCGTTTCAAATACGACAAAATTATCACTATACAAAGTTGAACAAATACACAATGGTCATTAAGGGTCAGTAGCACTATACAGGATTCATGTGGTATAGGAGGATGCTGCTGGTTAAGACTTTCCTCTTTCCTTTCTCTTATTTATCCTAAAAAAAAAAAATACATCTTCTATAAATAAGTTTCAGGAAACATTTTTTTTCCTACCTCTTCGAAGATGGGGATAGCTTCGGGTGGTAAGAATGGTAGTGAACACGTTCACATCTGTCCCTTTTCTCTTTTCTCCTGCTTCATATAGTGCCTGTCAAGAAACACAAAAGTGACCCCTTGACCATCTGCTGACTCGCTATCTGCACAAGAATGTTAGAACTCCTCAAGGTTCTCTAGGTAGCTGCTCTGTACCCAAAAGGATCAGAGTGGACAGTGCTGAGACTGAGCGCATCTGCCACGGTATCTCCCAAGATGCCTTGCAAACGTTAGAGACTGAATATACGTCTGAAGGAGAAATATTTGATGAATAAAATTGCTTTAAGATTATGTTCTACATTAAGACAACTCCAAGGACCTCTCTAAAAACATGGTTTTTTTTTACTTTTAATTGTTCAAACTAATTATTAGCTAATAAATCAACAATTCAACCATAACCTACATCTTGAATTTTGATGTAAGAATTTCTAGATTCAAATTTTGACTCTGCAACTTAATAACTCTGTAATCTTAGATAAATAATTTAGCTTTATTAAAGTACAGATTTTCCTCTTTTTTAAATGAAATTGAGAATCCCCTCCTTACTGACACAAACTGCTCTGTTAACTTTGAAATCTTACTTTCCATTACCTTCTTGGGTCACACTTATCCATGTAGCTGCCATAAATATACATCTAAAAGCCCTGATAGTCTTAAAATGGAAAGCGAATTCAAAAATGTCATAAGCAAATAAGAATTTTTTTATTATTACGGGGAATTATTCAAATACTAACTTTTGCTCTTTCGTACGCTTGCACAATTTTTATCAAAATGGTCAAACTTCCAAAGGACGTAAGAAGTTATTTTGGACTTTTCAGGCAAACTGATCTGATCCGTATGCATTTATTCAGCAAGAAGCTAATGAGTGCCTATTATGTGCAAGATAATGTACTGTTACAGTGAAGGCAGTGGGGGTGGAGAAATACATTTCTATTCTTACTGACTCCCTGTGATGAATTTATAGAGATAATGCTATCCCAAGAGGAAGGCATATGCAAATAATAATCTTTTTTTTTTTTAACAGAAATTCTAGGTGCTAAAATGGCACATTTCCTAATGTTGCCAATTGATTGGTATATTAATGACCAACAACCTCACTGAAACTATATATAACAATATATTTCAAAGTATATAAATGTTATTACAATTGTTTTATAATTATAATATCATTACCAAAGTATTTTCACAATATAAGCTTATATCTATAAACCATTCTAAAGTTCATTGTTAAAAGAATGTTAGATGTGCTTACTCTTTCCACTCCACTTTATAAAAAATTACTTCCCTTTCTCATAGTTGGTAACGTTTTTAAAAATCAGAGTTTTCTCAACATAACAATTCTTGGGAATAATAAATCAAATTCTCATGGTACTCTTTCAATCCTCCCTGACTTTATGAATAATGAGATCTATTGAAAATCATCAAGACCACACTTTTTATTTCTTGGGCTGCTCAAGTAAAGAATAGTACGTATCATTTAGGGAAAGAACATCATGTAGCTTGGCCTCCTGAAACATCTTAGACTTGCTCTCATGTGAAAGTCAGCCAATGAGAACCTCATCTAAGGTAGGAACGGTGTGAGGGAGGAAGGTGACTCTAGGAGAATTGCTTACCCTGGCATCCGAATCAGCCATTTCCTCATTTATCCCAAGATTCTCAGCCCGATCACCCTGAAAAAAAAAAAAAATCCCATTCTCTTGGTAATTTGTTTTCTAGCATGTAATCACATGATTCACTTATTTCCCTTAAAATTGAATAAATAATATTCTTTAAGAAAAAGAGAATCAATTGCTTATTTCTAGAGCAAGATGAAATCTAAAATTTTACTCTTCATAAAAGAAGTGCCCTGGCAGGTTTGGCTCAGCGATTAGAATGTTGGCCCTCGGACCAAAGAGTCACAGGTTCAATTCAGTCAAGGGCTCGTAACTTGGTTTCCGTTTGATCCTCAGCCCTGGTCGGGGTCCTGTGGGAGGCAGCCAACAGATGTGTCTGTCTCACATCGATGGTTCTCTCTCTCTCTCCCTCCCTCCCTCTCTCCATCGCTATCTGAAAATCAATGAAAAAATATCCTTAGGTGAGGATTAAAAAAAAAAGAAGCATTTACTGAACCACTTGAGTTATACCTTAAGCATAGAAAGCAAAGCCTTCCGATAATCTCCAGAGGTGTCTGAGACGATGTCTTTAGCCAGATCCCTCTTCAATTCTGAAAAATAAGAAAAGTATATTTTGCTGTAATGATAATTATTATTTCAGAAATCTCTATATTAGCTTAATATTTGCAATACCAAATGTTCAATAACTTATGGAATGCATTTCAAAATATTATCTTTTTTAAATAAAAATGGAGATAATGAAGCAAGTAAAACTCTGGACCATCAAACGTATAACCTCCAGGGCAATGAAAGCAATTTAATTATGAATGAAAACCTATAGTCACAGAGCTTTTGCTAATATAAATAATATGAATTACATAGGTATTAAATAATTAATTCTAAAATAAACATGCCAGAATTTAAGCAACGTGATCAATAGAACGGTTATTTAAAAGAGTAAACCAGAGGTACTTGTTTGAACATAGGTTATTTATTTACTTTAATAATTATAAATATGTAATATGGTTTAATTGTATGTGTGTGTGTTTGTGTGTGTGGGTATATACACATACATACACACATACATAGATGGACAGTCTTAAAATTTTTACTTAAGTAAACATCCTTACTTAACTATGCAAAATAATGCTATATTAGGAAAAAATTAACTGAATAAATAATTAACTAGAAGATGGGGCAATAAGCTATCATTGAGCTATATCTTGGGTATAATGGGGAAATATGAATATTTTCCTTTGCAAACTATGTTTTATTAAACAAAAAACTAAAACAATGCTCCTCCTAATTATCATCATTCATAAACAGATGTAGGATAAATATTAGTAATGAGACAAATGTAGAAAATGAGGTTGAAAGCTTCCTTATTCTGCTTCTTTCATTAAACTGCTCCAAAAACAATATGCAAGGGCTGTTGTATACTCCTTGCTTGGGATGAAAACAGGCAGAAAGGTCCCCCATGTGCCACATATTGACTTGGGAAACTAGAAAAAGAAAATAGTAAAAGACCCAGCACTGCTCAGGACCCAGCTGCAGCTCCCCTCTTTAGAGTGTTGAGCGTATCATTTAAATAAGATGTTTCACTGAATAGATATAATGGGCTATGGCTGGTCTTTCATCTCTATGGATCCAACTAGAGATAAAGAGTAGGCGAATCATTTACATAAAGCATAACAGTAAAGTTCATAATGCTTAAAAGTTTCCATTGCAGGATTATAAGCACCTAGCTCTTTACCTTTCCAAGGACAAAGGGAGAATATTTTCTTTGAAGATTTTATTTCTTTGTTATGTTTTGAAAATAAAAGACAACAGACTATTTTAATGAAATAAATCTCAGAATAATAGGAAATGTTTTTAGAGAATTCTTTGAATTCGATGCTTTGAATTACAACACTGTGTGGCCATTTGTCTTAAAGGGACATTTTTGATTAAAGTGCAAACAGTGTCTCCCTTCAGCACCTTAGCACTTGAATGGTACCCGGTAACTGTGTGTGATTACAGTAGACATGTGAAACAAGACATGTTACTATGTAGACTTTCCAAAGTCCCCATAATTAACATCCATATTCAATTTTAAGAAAAGTATGTCTTTTTCCCACTAAGGCACTTGGACTATTGGACATTAAAACTTACCTTCTCTATAGACTCGGTCAATTTCTCTGATTTCTCTGTTAGTTCTTGATGCCAAAATTTCATTCAGAGTGTCTTCATCAGTACCAAGGCCCTGAATTGAAAGATAAGAAAAGAAGAAATGTAGGAAAATCTTCATTTGAGAGCTAGTTTTTGTGTCCCAAAACTTGTTTGAATCCAGCCTTTAGTAAGTTTCCCACAATATTTACTAATTACAATGAGCTCTAACTATAATTGCTCTAGAAACAAAATGGGTTTTAAGCCAACATTCTGGACAAAGACATAAAAAGTGAGCTATATGACTGATATAGTGACATGTTGAGGAAGGTGAAAATAACACAGCTATTAATTAATTAATCAATTCATGCATTTTATTCCCACTAATTGATAGGCCCTGTACAGATGTTGAGGATACAATAGGAGGCATAAGTGGACTTGACCTACACATTTTTTTTCAGAAAAGGAGTTTTGCTTAAATCAGGTGATTTACCTTCATGGCTCCTCGGAGTACATCAGCATCGAACTGGGCTGGAGTTTTTAATAGAGCCAAAACAACTTCTTCAAGGTGACCTGTAAGGGCTTTCTTCAGAGCTTCATCCAAGGGCTATAACAGAGATTAGAAGCAGGGCTTATAATAAGTAACATGCTAGGTTACACAGCAATGTAGGGTTACCTGACCTTTAGGTAACCAGATATTTAGAATGTTATTTTAATCCTTTGGAGTCATTAGGATAAAATTTTGCTAAATTTAATAACTTGTTCAAACAGGGTTCTCAATCTTTTATACAGGGAAGAAACCAAGAAGCTCAAAACATAGGGTTGTGGATTAACAGAAACAGTAACGATACTTAAAAATACATAATGTCTTAATAATTTTTCCAAATGTGGAGGTTTTTTCACTACTCAAATAAACACTATAATCAGACACTGACATATAGTTTTCAAAATGCATTCCTTAAAAAACACTACCCGTATTTGGTATAAAAAATATAAAGCTTACTTTTAAAGTAGTGTGGACAAAAAGGGGCCACATTTTAAACCTGACAGCTCAGAAAAGGCCTGAATGGAAAGCCCTATAAACTCAAGAGGCGGAAAATATCCACATAGGATAGTATGAACATAAAAATTCCTAACTAGCCCTGGCCGGTTTGGCTCAGCGGTTAGAGCGTCCGCCTGCGGTCCGGAGAGACCCGGGTTCGGTTCCCGCTAAGGGCACGTACCTCGGTTGCAGTTTGTCCCCGCCCCTGGTTGGTCGTGCGGGTGGCAGCCACTCGATGTGTCCCTTTCACATCGATGTTTCCCTCTCTCTCTCTTCCTCTCTCTCCCTCCCACTCTGTCTGAACAAAAATTGGAAAAATGTCCTCGGATGAGGATACAAAAAAAAAATTCCTAACTAAAGTGGGTCATGGCGGGTAGTCAGGTCTTGGCAGGTAGTCAGGTACTGTAGCTTCCTTGACAAAGGTCAATCTTGACCTGAAGGGAGCCTGTATAGTGTCCTTTTGCATCTAAAATGTCAGGTTAATCTCCTTTTCCAGATTCCTCGGGGCACCCCACACCCCGCCATCACCACCAGGGCACTAGATCACAGAACCCTTCATTATCTTCTTCCTCACATACCATGTCTATGTGCTGTAAATGTTCATTATTGACTCTCCTGTACCCAACAATGTAAAAGAAGTATGTGTCTCCTTATTTTACTTTTCATCCAATCCCAGAGATTTCTGTTTTGCTTTCTCCCACCCCCTTAATCTAAAAATAATGAATTTCATGTAACCTTCCTTCTGCCTCCTCCTTTGATTCTCATGTATAAAATAAACTGCAAAACTGTAGAGATGTTGCTTCCCGGAAATTGTCGTTAGTTTTGCTCAAATAAACTAAAAAAAAAAAAAAAAAAATTCTGTACAGGTTTGGATGTCTCTTACATCAACAGCAGAATTATATGTTTAAACTTTACATTTAGGCATGCACTCAGTTTAAATTTTAGCAGAAGACACATTTCAATCAAAACATAGTCCTTATTGCCAATAGTAATCTTGATGTTTGTTATGTTGAAATGAAAGGTTTGTCTCCAATACAAAACATCACATCTGCAAAGAACCTACACCAACAGGACAAACGTATGAAACCAGTCAATTTGCCAGAATTGATCTGATTGCAATCAAGTGGATAAATACTGCAATCCTTGTTGTAGTTGTAATGGGAAAACAGTGCTAGAGACTGAATGAACTAGGTAACTGTGCTTCAAAATCCAGATTTAACACAAATGCAACTGAAATTAAATGTCTAAATTTACCACTCCAACCCACCTTTCCTTTTTCCTGGAGATATGCTGCTTTGATCTGTTGACGCTGTGCATTGGTTCTCTTAGTTAGAATGTCAATGATGGTTGCTTCATCTACACCTGAAAATAAAATATTTTTAAAAATCAAATTTGTTTTAAAATCAAATTTGTTCCTCATCAATAATCGACATTAAATGATTCATTGTCAAGATGCTCCAAATGAAGTTCTTAATAAGCTAAGAAATATGAACTATATAGATGCAATACTACATATCAAAGGGAAGTGCTTTGGATGATATATATGGATGAAAAAGGAAGAGGAAATTGTCCCTGGCCCTCAGAGTTACAGTATTGATCTTAGTTCAAACCCTAAATGTGAGCAGAGGTGTTGGTTTTAGTGTTGAGTTTATGCTAGAAATGAGCTGGTAAGGGCATCTGTTGTGGCAGAAGAGATTCTACAGATTTAACCAAAAATGTTTAAGTGATAACAAAAGATAACAAAGGAACTATAGCTTTGTTTGATAAAGAAATCTTTTTGTCTTCAAAATGAAACAGACTTTTTCCATTGCAAATATCGGTTTTTCAATAGTCATTGAAGCAGGTACTCTGACATCTGCTGGAGGGGACTGTTTTGGGAAGACTTAGTCACCTTTAACTGTTATTGCTTTATGCAAGGCAGCAACATCCGAGGATGGATTGAAGGTGGGATAGGGGCTCACTGCTGACCCAGGTCCACCTTTGTATCCTTTCACGGTTTGCTGTCGATGAGAGAGAAAAAAATTAATGTCCATTCACTCCTACTGGTCTCTCTTTCAATGTTTAACTAAATTATTTGATTGTCACTTGACTTACAACGTATTCCTGCTCTTCGTTGTCGATAAACCAGGCTTGCTTGAGGAATTCTGATACCATTGCCATTTTTAAAGAAGTTTCTGGAAAGAAAACATAGATGCTTTTACAAACCACAAATTCCCCACACAGTATATGCCACTCTGTTCCCTTGCATGCACCAGACATAGAGTAGCCTTGAGTTAACTTTCCAGGATATTACTCTTAGAAGCATAGTAAAATGCTAGACGTAAGTTTTTTCAAAGGAGAGTCTTTCCCCTGAACAGAAACCCATAGCCTCCACTCTTTCTTGGCTTTCTCAGTCCTAACTGTTAGGAGTCAGATGACTACTACAAATAAACACATAGGCTCAAGAGAGGAGCTGGTGATTCATTTTATTGCTCTGAATTTACAGACCAATACTATCTGCCAAGCACTAGGGGTGCAAGAAACATCAAAACTTCCTCCCTTGCCTCAGTGAACTTCAAGTTCCTGTGTGCTCTCAGTGGGAGCACACAGAAGCTAAGGAAACCTTTTAGAGGAGGCGCTGGCTGATCTGAGCCTCTCTTGAAACGAGTGGAGATTAACCTGGCAGAAAAGTGAAGGAGAACAAAGCAGAGAGACACTTGTCATATTTGGAGAACTGAAAGAAGTTTACTGGAAAAAGAAAGGTTGACAGAAGCTCCAACAAAGAATTTTAAATGTACCCCTATAGCTTTGGGAAAGCATTAATGGATTTTTAAAAAAGAAAGCAATATGATTCCATTTATATGTCAAAAAGATGACTATCCTCTGTCATAGGGAATGGCTAAGAGAAGAGCTCATTTAATAGGCCATTAGAGAACCTAAGCAGGGTCCTTAAGAATCTGAACAGAAGGGGCATAATATTTACATTCATAAGGTAAAATAATCTGTAACAATCTACAGAAGTTGATTTAAATTTAAAACTAGCCATAAAAAAAATATTTAGGTGCTATTTCTCCCCCAAATAATTCAGTATATTTTTCCCATTCTTTGGTATAAAATTCTTTCAGTACTTGGAGTGCTCCTCTTGTTTGAGCTGTTCAGATTCTAGGTGTGCATGTTTTTCTACCCAACACAAAGAACTCGGAAATGGATTACTCTGTACCAGGTGCTTTGCTCTAACAGGAAGTGTTGGGGTGAAATTGCAACATGGCTGTAAACTATCTGAAAGGAAATTTCTTGAATTGCTAGCACGGTTCAGCAATGTTGTTATGTAATCAACCATATATATTTTGGAATCCCAAAGTGTGTTAACGACTAATATAGCCTCTGTGTTATCACTAAAAGAAGCCACCAATGATCCTTTCTGTCTTGGGATGTGTTTTTAGGAGCCTATGATCTAGGTGTGTGCGGGTATCTCTCCGTACCCTTATGTGTGTCCCTCTGGAAATGACTCATGAATACAAGTGAGGGAGACTAGAAGGAGCTGAGGCCATCGTAAATTCTTGATGTGAAGCTAAATGACTCATGAGGAGTGAAACTGGTAACAGCCTGTTCAAACAAAGTATTTCAATCTACACCTGCTGAAAAATAACTGCAGATCCAGGTAATGAGATTAAATGCATGAGGGAAATAATATCCCAAGGAAAAACTATCTCCACTTAATTATTATGGAGATTGATCAAATTCCTAGTCTGTCATCTGGGAGAAGAACCAATATATTGTGCACTTATTTCATCTCTTCCCACTTCCCCACCCAGCAATTGGTAAATTTGAAGTTGTTTCCTAAGGTAAAGTCATGTTGTACAATTTTGCACAACGTTTGAATTCCTACTGAAGAAATAATCTGGTGCAGTTGCTGTTGGCATGTGGAGAATTTCGTTTTCCTATTGCTTAACTGGCACATCCAAAACATCGAGCAACTTCTGGCAAGGTTTCAGGTATTTAAAATTTCATTTTTACCATCTCATCCATGCTTTTCATCAAGTAGAATCCTCCAATAAAGGTAGTTATCGAAACACATGTTCCAATATTTCCACTCTTTTCAATTAGGAAAAAAACTGAGATATTAAAGATTAAAGATGTTGTCAATTACCATTTAAAAAATGAGACTCACAACTTCAAAATGAAATTGATGAAGACTTTCCTGTATTTCACTCATTGTTTTCACTTCTAAAAAAATGCTTATATAATGCATCACTTTCTTAAAATATAAACTTGAGAAAGAGTATAAGAAAATGTTATTGCTCTATTAATTACATAACACAAAATAAAAAATAAAAAATAATTTATTTGACATAACAGTGTCCACAGAGGAGACAGCTTTGTAACACAGCCAAGTTCCTGGATTTCAGTCTCAAGTAATCTGATGGCCTGGAAAAGAAAAGCAGCCTCAATGTGACCCATCTCAGAGAAGCAGTTAGAGGAAAATGGAATCTCCACTAAGCCAAGTTAGATGCACCAGCTCTTAGCAAAGCCTAAAGAAACAAGGGTTTTGGCAAGATGTCAGAAGTGGCTCTGAAGAATTTTAAGAATTGTCATGTCCTGCTATTTAAGGGCACAAAGTCAACTAACTGTGTGTTTAACACACTCTTAGCAGTTCGCACACCTTACAAATTCCACAGCAAAAATATTTTGGCCAAAAATGTGACCAAACCTTTCTGTCTGTTCAATATCTACCCTCGACATGAAAACCAGCATCTTGAACTTAATAAAACCCATTCAGTCATTTGAAGGTAACACTTGCTTAACTGTAAATAAATAATGCATGCAAGTGTTTTATAGACTACCGCATGTTCTACAGATGTCAGATATCATTACTATTCAAATAATGATCTGGTCCAGAAAATAAACTTGTACCGTCAAGATAAATAAATAATTTGAATAACCCTATGAGTTCACAAAAGATTTTCTTTTTTCTGTTTTTCGAGTTGCATTGTTTAGTACTCGGACTAGGTATTTAAGAGTTGTTGTGTTTTTTTGTTTTTGTTTTAATCCTCATCCGAGGACATTTTTCCATTTTTTACTCAGAGCGGGAAGGAGAGAGAGGAAGAGAGAGAAACATCAATGTGAAAGGGACACATGGAGTGGCTGCCACCCACACGACCCAACCAGGGCCGGGGACAAACTGCAGCCAAGGTACATGCCCTTAGCGGGAACCGAACCCGGGTCTCTGTGGACCGCAGGCCGACACTCTAAGCGCTGAGCCAAACCGGCCAGGGCAAGAGTTGTTGTTTTTTTAGTAATTTATTACCTTGGCTCAATATATTTAATCTGGCTACTAATGAGCTCTGAAACCAAGTTTATCTCAGTCCTTAACATCTCACTGGAAGAGGAAGTTGGCCGTTTATGCACAAGCTGACCGAGATGGAAATTAACAGTATCCCAGAGCTCATCTGGTTATGATCTGTTTGTGATCATGCACTGCCTACCGATCTCATTTATCTGTGGATAAATGTGCAGCTTTCTAGAGATTAACATTTTTTTTGTACATCCATGTGTCATAAGTGAACTCTCCTCATCTCATTCAGCAAGGAATTCAGGACGGTAAGTATGCACAAAAAGTATGCCCAAGTTGTTAGAGGAATCCATGCTTACTAAATGTAAGAAAAAGGTGTTCCAGAAATGGTACATTAACAACTGCTCCAACCAAACACTTTGAGAATACTAGGCTTGTTGCATTAAAGTTAATTTCCTTATTTTTTAATGTATACAGGCAGAAGTGTTTAGAGGCATGCACGGACATCGTACCTGCGGTGTTCTCTCAAATGTTACAGAAAAAGTAACTGGGGGGCGGGGGAAGAAGGAGGAAGGGGAAGAATAAATAACAAAACAATGTGGTGAAATGTTCACAGTTATGTAATTCTGTTCAATATTCTTGCAACTTTTCTGAAGGTTTGCAATTATTATAAAAGAAAGGCTTGTTTTTTGAAATCTCCATTTCCATCATTAACCTCATGAAAGACTACTTCCAGAACTAGTTACAGAGGAAGCCGCGTTTTGTGGTCTGTCAGGCCTTCCTCCTAGTGACAAGCTAGATGACCAGAGTTCTCCATTGATAGCAGCAGCAATTAATCTTTGCATATGACAAAGTCATTGCTGTGGCTTTCTACCTGGGAAAACAGAGTGTCATATTCTGGCAGTTTTCTAGATAATGGTGACACGGCATACATAAATTCATACCTTTGGATTTCAAAATATCGCATATTCTTTTGAGCTAGCAAGCAAAAGAACAGTGACAAGATCCATGTTATTTCTAATAGTTCACATTTGGGAATCAAATGCATTAACAGTTAACCTCAGGAGACTGTGGCAGACTTCACCTCCGCCCCAGGGAGTTTATATTTCAAGGCTTTGGCTTCTGCACAGTTTTCTCCTCTAATATACTTTTCACAAGACCTCTTCACACCTACGCGTGTGAGAGAAGACAGTTACACTGTACAATACCATGGCTGGTGAAGAACCACTTTATGAAAAGGAGTCTCATAAATGTTTTGCTTCCAGGCCTTTGGGTAGGGTGGTCCCCTTTGCCTGGGATGCTGTTTTCTCCCCCACGCCCACTGTCCTTAGTCTAACTACTGCTTCTAAATCAGCATACACCTCTTTACCTGCGTCCAAGTCTTTATTAATTCTACACTGGATTGGGTGACCTTCTGTGCTCTCCCCAAATATCCTGCCTTTACCCCTCCACGAGCCCCTAGCGTTCTGTGTCATCACTTTCTACTTACATAGCAGTGTGTACAGCAGCAGTCCATGAAGGCTATGCTAATCTACTATTCATGCTGTCCCTCCAATCCCTGGCAAAATGCCCAGTATTTAGTATGTTAATAAGCATGACTGAATGAATAAATAGCGTCTGTTTGCTAATTATTTGGGAAACTATCTATGATAATTTAACAAATGTTTTTACCCATAACTATAGAATATAAAAATAAGAATTGAGCAGTTTTAAGCCCTAATTTTTTTTTTTCTCTTTAACGGATTGTATGGCCTCAAGAAAACATTTACGTTTTCTAGGGGTCTTCATTGGCAAAAATAGGAGTGTTCGAATAAATAGCATCTAAAATGCATAACAGCTCTGAAGTGTCCAACTTAAACTTCACCTCAAGAGACTGGGAGTGGAGAAAATGAGCATAATGAAGATATTATACTAATCGTGTCTGTTCTGATCTTTCTGATAAAAATATCTACCCTGTTCTAAAGAAAGAGGAACTCATTTACTTCAAAAACGGCATTTGATGTATCGCTGGAAAATAATAGGTCTATTAGTTCAGCTGTGATTTTTTTTAATAAGTCCTAAGTGAGTGGGTCTAGAGAGGATTAAGAACCAGCTCAGCAAGCTAACATCACTCACAGAAATTAACCTTCGCAGATCTTTTGATTGAAAAAGTATTTAATAAGCATGAAACTCGAGCTGGTTCCTTAATAATGTTATAATTGACTATTTGGACAACATCAGTCAAATGTTGGAAAGCTGCCAGATGTGGTTACCACCCAGGGCTAGGGTGGTAACAAATTTCTAGAGAAGAGGCCATTTCAGAATTATGAAACCAGCATTTCACCACAGTGAATCATTTTGCAACCGCCTTCTCTCCAGCCACCAGAGTACATCCATGCAGGCAGAGGGGAACAGTACTTTTTCGAAGTCCGTACACCATTTCAGACATAAGCAAAGCAAGAAAAAACACACCGTTCTTAATTAGCTAGCATAAAAATGTAGGATATCGGGTATTTAATGTAACATTCAAAGTGGGCTAAGAGAAAAATTCTTGAAGGAACATTAATAATGACTGACAGCCAGATATATGCTTATGAGTCAACATCTTTTACTTTTGCAAATATCTCGCACAGCAGTAAAAACTCTACTTTAGATTTGTGTTGTGCTTTTTTTTGTAAAGAGTTTTATGGCCATTGGCTCCTTCAACAATCAAGATGCTGCTGCACAGAGTAACTTTTACAGGACTCATCTGGTAACCCCAAACCGTGACATCTGACACCCTCAGAAAATGTTTCCCTCCCGCAGGTTTTCAGATCAGCACTTGAAAAGCCTGCCGGTGACACAGACACTTCAGGAATAAGAGGGTGCCCACACCCTCTTTGAATGACATGATTAATAAGCAGATCCTCTTATTTATTTACATGGCATGAGTAAAAATAACATTAATTTCCAAATGTTAATTAAAAAGGGCATGGTATCACTGAGGTCAGAATCCATTTAGTTTTCCTTACTAAAGAAGAAAATAAATGATGTCAACCATGCTACGTGGAAACAGCTCCCTGAAACCCACCCTGGGCTGGCTCCCTTCCCGTAGGAAGCCCCCTGCATCATGGTTTCCGCAGGGGGCACATAGCTCCTGGGGACCCAGAACTTGTAGGAAGAGAACATTCTTTCCTTCTTTTCCATGGTAACTCACCAACAGTAGTACAACAAGCCAGGATTAAGCAAACTTAATATTTTTTCAGTTATATTTCTTAACGAAGTAAAACACAACACTACAATGTGTGATTCCCAAAATCCAAATACAGTGTAATTTTACAGATTTATCAAAACATATTAAACACCATTAGCCATAAATCCTACAGAAGCAGTAACATGTAACATCATGACAGGAAGTTTTCAAAACAACCAAAACTAACTAAAAAGAAAACCAAGACTTACCTTTGTTTACACCTTCCTGCAAAGAACTGAGAGATTCTCCTCTGAAAGCTTCACACTAGAACTGAATGAAGCCTTGGGCTTCTGATTTTATAGAATTTGAAAGGAGACCACACCCAGCAACCAGAAGTTAGTAATTGGCTGCCTTTTGTTTGAAATGCATGGCTCAGCCTTGTCCAAAACAAAGTGAAACAAGTCTTGCAAAACTATTCACTAAACCAACTCATAGCTGACAGCCCCAAGGAAAAGAAACGGAAACACAAACTTTTTTTCCTCTCTTTAGTTTGCAGTTTTCTTTTATTTTCAGAGGGAGTAGAATGCAATGGATTTTCAAGTATGCTGTACTATCTGCTCCAACACTGATACCAAAGAGTGCCACTTTTTTTTTTTTCAATTAAACATGTTTGAAATAAAAAATGTTTAATCTTCAAAACAAAATATAACAAAAAAAATTTACTACCTTTCAGTTTGAATCTCAGTTTCATCATTTATTACTATGTGACCTTGGGGACATATTTAATTCTTCTGAAACAATTTCTACTTTTGTAAAGTGGGGATAATATTATCTAGGTTGCCTACCACTGGAATTCTTGGGAAAATTGAGAAATAATGTATATTTGTAAATTCTAATGTTATACAGTACTGAGTAGTTTTCTATTTATATTTCATGAGAATTTTTCCTGCCTCCAAAATAAAAAAAAAAAACTTTTCGAGCCTGGATATAGCTTGTTGATATAAATAAAAAATATAAACAAAACAAAGGTCTAGATTTACTCACAATTTCGAACCAAAAAAGTATGATAGTTAAGACATTCAAAATAAATACTGGCATTGCAGGAAGGCCTATTTACAGTAATTCACTTGTATAGAATTTTATATAAACTATGATATAATTATATCCTTGACATTCTAGGGTACTTGAGCAATAGAACTATAAATTAAAAGGATTCATGGATTAGCAACTATTACAGAGCAGGTACCGTAAGAAATTTCCCACCTGATGCAAGGAAAGGAAGTTTGTTCTGGTAATATCAATGGTGACTCATTTTTAGTCTACATGAACTCTTATAAAATCTTATATGATGCTTCCATTAAACTATGCACAAGTATGAACTCCACAGCATTGTAGTTCAGTCTAGGCTACATTTTAGGGGTTTGTTCTTTTTCCTCTTTTTCTCATTGATGTCTCAAATATTTTTATGTATGTTAGGTTTAGAAAAATCAGTGAAAATACTCTTTAAGATTGTCATTTTTTATAACACATTCTAAATTCTAAGTTCTGCTTTCAATGTAATCCACATACTTGGAAGTAGGATGATCACCTAATAGAAATCAATTGTGACAGATGTAGACCAGCTGTTTAATACCACATTTATTTTTTCAGGAGAGAAGGGATAATTACTCGAGATTTGTTTTTCTATTTATATTTGTATTCCCAGCTTGGGTAATAGAAATGAAATATTTCTACACAGTAATACTCTTATGAATTAAAGAAGTCCATGTACCTTTTAAAAATTTTAACTAAAAGAAACATATAGTCTTACTTATTTATCTATCTATTTATTTACTTTGTGGTACCAGTAACATAAACCCAGAGGAATTGCTTTATATATTTGAATTTGTAAGCATTGGCAAATCTGTTATAGCAACAACAAAAGTGGTGTTCACAGAAGTATCGAGGGAAAACTATTAGAAAAACATTTTTTTCCAAAATTCTAGTTGTAACTCTAAAGGCAAATGAAACTCCCAAATATAAAAAGAAAAGAAAGTCACTAATCATGTGTGAATATTGTTGTGAATAATCCGTCAGAAACGTTTCCCCCCACACAATAATAATGTCAAGTGCATTGTAGAAATAAAAGAAAACATCAAATATGTTACCATTAACAGCTAAGTGATAATCATGGGTTAAATGCTTTATGTGTTTGAAATGCCACGTACTAAAACTCCCTACAATGCCTATGACATGACTCACTGCTCTTGCTGTTTCTAGAAGATGATGACTCAGAGGCTCCATTTACTTTACAGAGAGAGCACAGGAAGTCAAGGAAGAGCAGAAAAGAAATAAAAATAGTTACAGGCAACTACCGTACATTACATTTTCACATTGTATTTATTTCTACTCCTTTAATGTAGACTTGCTAGTGAAGAAAAAACAAACCAGTAGGACAACATATGAAGTCTCTCACACATTTTATATCTTAATGGAGGAAAAGTCCTTACATAAGACTCTAGCAAAACATCTGATTTTAGTATGGTGATTCCCCCCCCCCCCCTTTTATGTTAGGCTCTCTTTAAGTACTTTTTATATAGAGGAAGAAGATGTATTTTCAGAATCATCAAAACCTGCATTTCACTGAAATTCCAAAATCACTGCACAACTTCACACCCACTATCCACAAACAATAAAATCATTGTTTTGGTTTGTATTTCTAATATATTCTCAGGTTAAAACATTTTGAGAAATAGTGTTCTAGATATGTCAAATACTTATCTCTCACACATAAGCACACACACACATACACACACACACACTCAATTATTGTATCATTATTATTATTACTCAGTTATTCCCAACATCACATAGAGAACTATTTTTTCAAAATAATGAAGTTAAGGAAATGGTCAAGTGGTTAGCAAAAGCCAAAGGAATGCTTCTTTGTTGGACTTCACTTAAGAAAAAATTGAAAAAAATTATCTGTGTGTAACAAGATGAAGGAAGGAACTTCATCTTCTTAACACATCGGGGTACGGAGGGGATTGTGATTGTGACAGATTAACATTTTGATAAATTATATTGCTTCCTTGATATGGATTCAACAAAGAAGAAGAAACGATATCACCTGTTCACCAAAGGAGTAAATGAAGATTGGAATTCCCTGATACTGGAATTTTTTTTATCCCAATGGACTTTGGGTAGAAAATAAAAGTTTCCTATTAGATCAGGCCCCAGTAAGACAACTTTTTGGTTTTGAAGGTCCAGACACATCTGGAGCAAAATGTTTCAATCTTTATGTCAAACACATTAGTGAATTATGCCCTGGCTGGGTGGTTGAGTTGGTTGGAGAATCATCCCGTACACCAAAAGGTTGTGGGGCACCCAACCTTTCATTGTCGATGTTTCTTTCTCTCTCCTCTCTCTTTCCCTCTCCCTTCCTCTCTCTAAACATGTTCTCAGATGAGAATTTAAAAAATTTGTAATTAGTGAATTATAAAGTCATTTTGCTATGCTCTGACCAACATTTAAAAAAATTGAAAGGAATATAATAAAATGAAACAACATAAAAAATTATCAGAATGTTTCACATATTATCAGGTAAGTATTAGTTTGCAAAATCTTGGCTTACAATGTTACATGTGTGCATATGTGTGTGAATATACAGCAGTATGAAGATATAAATATATCCCAACTGAATGTTGTGCTTAAAAAACTTTGGAAAAGACTGAAGATGACTACCAAAGCAGATGTACCCAAGAAAGGTAGGAAACACTGTCTTCCTAATTATAACCTCTAGAGAATGCAACTATATCATAAGGAGTCATGTACACATATGCTTGTATTATTACTTGTATAATAAAAAAATATAAAGCAACTCAGTTATTCATCAATAGAGGAATGGATAAAATGTGATATAATATGAATGAACTAGATATATAAACAAAAATACATACTAGAAAACATAATGGTGACTAAAAAAAAGCAGTGGCAAGGGATAAGTACGTATGATGCCACTTAAGAAAAATTACTAAACAATAGTATATATAGTAGAAATGTTTACATATAAAATGATATTATAACCAGCATGGTGGAGAAGGATACTAACTAAATCTGGATAAAGGTTAACCATGAGGAGAAACAAAGGTGAATGGCATAGAGTATGGAAATTTCACCATTTTTACAACTTTTTTTTATTTTTTTTAAAATATTCTTAAACAAGTAATATTTGTTAAAATTGAGTGTTAGATACAAAGGTGTTTATTTTGGCCTTCTTGATAACTTTCTTTATGTTCAAAAATTTCAAAATTATATGTGATAAAAGAATAAGACATTGGGTCATACTTTTTCATTTAATATCATTGTATGAGTTTCATCCATATTATTGTATATATTATTATTTTGTGTATTATTGTCTTTTCATCATTTCCATTGTTCTATGGTATTTAATTATATAACTATATCACAATTTATTATTCATTTTCTCTAATCAAATATTGGAGTTGTTTTTAATTTCTGGTGATTACAAAACTATGCTGCTATAAATAGTCTTACACATCTCTTCTGGTACTTTTGCTAGTTTCATGGGGTATATACATACATTCAACTTTAGTGAATACTGCCACATAGTTTTCCAAAGTTGTCCCAAGTTATACTCAAAACAGCTGTACATGAGAAATCCAGTCATCCCTTATCCTCCTCAATATGTGGTATTGTCTTTTGCATTTTGACAATTTTGGTATTGTGAAGCAGTATTTCCATAGTTTTAAAATGCCTTTTTTCAGTGACCAATGAAGTTGAGCATTTTTTTTATATTGGTCAATGGATTTTTTTCTCTTTTATTTATTTATTTTGTTGGTAGTACGTGCCCCTAGCAGGAACCGAACCCGGGACTCTCTGGTCCGCAGGCCGACGCTCAACCGCTGAGCCAAACTGGCCAGGGCGATTTTTTTCTCTTTTAGATTGCCAGTGTAAGGTTCTGACTCATTTTTCTAATAGGTCATCTGCTTATTCCTTATAGATAAGTAGAAGCTATTTATATGTTCTAGATTCTTTTCATAATGTTCACAAACAGTAATACCTCATCAATTTTATTTTACTATTTTAATTTTAAGTACATATACTTATGCTTACACACACACAAACACCATGCACAAAACAACTGACCAGATCTGAAGAAGTGATTGATCCTGGGAGGAAAACAAGAGTTGTGTGCTCTTGAGCGTAAAGTCTACTTAAAACTGCTCCTACGCCTCCATGTTGGTATGGTGACCGAAGAGGCTGGTTTTCAGAGGCTAACTTCATGGTCATCAGCAACTGAGATAATTGGAATTAAAACAAGGTGGTGACCTTTCCCGTTTCTATAGATTTTCTGAAACCTTGTATTCTGCTATACCCTGAGTAAGAGAAAATAAAATGAAAACTCACTCATATTGAACTTATTGCTAT